CCACATGTGTCTACACTCACAAGCCACTAACTGTCGTTGTTTGCCGTCTTCCATCTAGTAGTAAAACTTTTGTTTTCAAAATTATTTCCAATTTAGTTATACTTGGGCCAGTTATAGTTTATGCTTCGGTTTTGGTGTTGCTCATTTTTGAATGTCATAGGATGACCTGAAATTGTTCACATAATATGTGTCCTACATCAGTCAGTGTTTATCAGTCGTGTTTGAAAAAGAAGTCAGATTGGTCATTTCATCTTGTTAACTTTATTGGAAACAGCGTAACTGTTAAGGTTGAAATAAGGGACAGCAGTATGTAGACTAACTCGTAAATCCTTTCGGAATAGGTCAATCATACGAATAGCTGCACTTCGGACTCAGGGCCACCGGTTCGTCAATATAATATGCGTATCCTGTAACTTCTGCATTTTAAGATCAATACCAACCAAAATCTATATTGAGATTAGACACGGATCAAAGTAAAAAGAGCAACCTTCAATTTCGTTATAAATGTCGCTAAAACCTGTGCACAGTCATTCTAGCTTTATTTTTGACTTAACTATAAACAGGAAATGCAACTACAAATATTTTAATGAGTGTTTCTATTCGACTGGAATCTTGGTAGGATTTCTCAAAAAACTAACTCTGCTTCAGGGACATTATTCCTTCATGTGAGCACTTAATCTTCCATCTCATGCAAAACTTAATTTGGATTTTTCCTATTGAGATCATTTGATCCTATTTGTAATATAAAAAAGAAGATGTGGTATGATTGCCAATGAGACAACTCTTCACAAGAGACCAAATGACATAGAAATTAACAACTATAGGTCACCGTACGGCCTTCAACAATGAGCAAAGCCCATACCGCATAGTCAGCTGTAAAAGGCCTCGAAATGACAAATGTAAAACAATTCAAACGAGAAAACTAACGGCCTAATTTATGTACAAAATAATGAAAGAAAAACAAATACGTAACGAAGCAAAAAACGACAACCACTGATTTACAGGCTCCTGACTTGGACAGGCACATACAGAATGTGCCGGGTTAAACATGTTAGCGGGCGCCCAACCCTCCCCTAATCCTGGGACAATGGTGAATATGATTATTTTGGCCTTTACATTACTTTTTTTTCAATGCATAACTTAGCTCCATTGATTGTTTGACACCTTAACCGCTTTATTGCTGTGCATTAGCCTTATATTTATGTATTTTATACTTGAAGTACCTACAATCCATATGGTTCCTCATATTTTAGAAATTTATCTTTATGGCTACTAAATGTCTCATTAGTATTCTTTTCTATGCCTTGTCTCACTGATGTGTCTTTCTCAGTTAATTCATTGTCTTCAATTTGTTCACTTTTATCTATTGGTTTGTCTTTGTGATGGTCCTGTCTCAGATCAGGATTGGATTTGTTTTTAATACATAGTTGTTTGTCTGAATTATGTTTATTTTCAGTATTTATTTTATTCTCACTAATGTTTTGTAAACTTTCAAATCTGTTGTATTTTTCAGGTTTATTTGTAGTTCTTTCTCCTTATTTTCTTCAACGAGAGTAGCGTCTTCTTTCATGCAATCTTCCTTGTCTTTTTCTACTTGCTGTGTTTTTGAGTTAATTGCAATCTTGTCAATTTTATTTTCCAAGCCAGATACTTGTGATAACAGTTAAACAAGTGTTTCGATAAAATGCATATTATCATTTGATTTGGATTGAATTCTAGTTTCTTTATTGTCTGTATGCGTTTGTTCGAATCTATCAGGGTTTTTTTTTAGATATACTGATTTTCTCTTTTTTTTTTTGTTAATCTTTGTTCAACTCCGTTATTGTAAGTTTTTTCAATCTTTTTTTCAGCGCGTCAACTTTGATGCATAAGCCTTGTAGTGTTTTTAACATCTCATTTGCAACTATTTGTAGAGATTTCACATCACTTTTAATGATCAGTCTCAATATAGTGTATAGCATGTAATATGTCCCCATCAGAAAGGCTTTCTTGATTTTCATTGTTTTTTTCACTTCAATATGATTTTCTGATATTTTGTCATGTTCATTTTCATCATGTGTAATCATATCTGGATTTGGTACATTAGGGTTACAGTTTTCAGTTTGCTCTTAATTTTTTGACTGATTATTTTTATCTACATGTACATGAGTTATTTCACCTTCAATTTGTGAAGGTAATTCTAACGGCATATTGTCTATGCTTTCTTCTGGATTATTTTCAAGGTTTTTTACAAATATATCTGACACAGTTTCACTAAGTAATTTGAATTCTGTTTCGACCCTTTTCTGTGTGACACTACCCTGCTAAACAGTTATGTCTGACACAGTTTTAATAAGTAAGTAGAACTCTGTTTCGACCCATTTCTGTGTGACACTACCCTGTACTAAACAGCTATGTCATGTCTTCTTTGACTGTCCATGTTGGTTGATTTAAGTCTCTGGTGCATGATTTTTTATTGTTAATTGTTTTTGGCTTTCACCTAGCTGTCAGTAACTGCGAGTACTCTCAAATCGTACTTTCTTGTTTATTTGACCTGTTGATACTAATTGTAATGCTTTTTTGTTATTTAATGTTATTAAGGGTTATATCTGGTCTATATACCAGCTTTGATAAGTGTTTGGTATTACTATAAATTTTCACTTCGTACTATGAACATCAAAGTTATTTATTTTGTAAAAATATTTCCTTTCTCTATTTGAACTGTACACGTATACCTAACAACAAAATTATTTTCATTTACCTGTGTATAAAGTAATTGCAAATGGCTGATATTTTTGTTCGAGCATATTGTTTTTCTTAAATTGTTTAACATTTCACAGCGGTATAACATGTTACTTTTGTTATTCTTCCCTTAGTTTATTTATTTTGTATTTACATTGTATCATAGATCAAATTTATTTGTTCAGTGTATGTTCAATGATGTTAATATGTCCTTTGATTGAGTTTAGCCATTTCAGTTGATATTTTATAGTGTGTCTTTCTATGTTGTGATGTTACACTATTGTTTCAGAAAAAGGGTGAAGGTTTGGTACCATTTAAACGTTTAAACCCGCTGCAACTGTTTGCACCTGTCCTAAGTCAGGAATCTGATGTTCAGTAGTTGTCGTTTGTTGATGTGGTTCATAAGTGTTTCTCGATTCTCGGTTTTTTATATAGATTAGACCGTTGGTTTTCCAGTTTGAATGGTTTTACACTAGTAATTTGGGGGGCCCTTTATAGCTTGCTGTTCGGTGTGAGCCAAAGCTCCGTGTTGAAGACCGTACTTTGACCTATAATGGTTTACTTTAATAAATTTTGACTTGCATGGAGAGTTGTCTCATTGGTACTCATACCACATCTTCTTATATCTATGTGTTGTATAAAATATAGTTATTGTGATTAGTTTTTTGCCCTTTACAAATATCTGGGTAATTGATTTATACAGGACTGATGGTATTGTTGAGCTGAATGGTTTCTGTTCATCGTCAAGGGTTATTCGTTTGCATTTAATATCAAAATCACTCCACGAAACAGTGATAAATTCACTTTCCCCTAGTTTCATAAAGTATCTCATATGAAAACTTATTAGCCATATTGCAATTGATGATTTGTTTGCGTTAAAGGGGATTTGCTTGGGGTCGTTTTTTTTTAGTTGTACCTCTTTACTTGCGGGACTTCCGGTTTTCCTCGTTTCGACGTTTTACTAAATTTTAAGTAAAATGTTCTCTCTCTACTTATGAAGAATGCAATTTAATGTAAACTGTTTACCTATAATATCGTATCCTCACATTTTATAACAATTCAGAGGTAGATTCTTGCAGGAAAAAACTTTTTACCGGAGCATTTTCACCATGCTCTTTCAGATTAAGGGAGATAATTTATTAAAATCATTAATGTTAAAGTATGTCCTCCTAGTTTAACTATATAACTTATGTAGTATTTCAAACATGCATGTAGTTAGTCCATTTATATATGCAGTATGGTGTCTTAATTGAATCAACTTTTTTAAAGGCGCTGGGTGGTGCTTTTCGTTGCCCGACTTTTAAGAACGTCATTATCGATGTTGTGTAACGTAAAAGCAGTAAAACATGGTCAAAGGGGGATTACTCGAACTTATCTTTGTAAATTCGGATTTTTATACAGGACTCGTAGCGCAGTTTAGCCATTATTGATATCAACAAAAATGGCGAAACACGGGAAAGAATTGTCAGACGACAACAAAAAGGTTATCATAAGTTTAATTGAAAGTGGTCATCGAGCAAGCAATGTTGCGAAAAGCTTAGGAATAGGTAAATCCACAATTTCCCAGCTTAAGAAACGTTGGCGGATGCGTGGTAATACAGAAAATGTGCCTCGAAGAAAAAGGAGAAAAACTGTTACAAAACGGGCAGAAAACACCCTGTCACGGATTGTGAAAACTTCTCGTCGTTCGATTTTAAAGGATATCACAAAGGAATTTTTTTTTTTTTTTTGGCGTCCATTAAAAAAGTTGACTCATTTATGGCACCATGCTGTATATATGTACAATTCTCTGAAACTTTGTATTTTGTTTATGAGAATACATGATTCATTCATTCATTCGTGGTAAAAAATCCTCTGTTGAATTTTGGGTACGTAATAAGTCTGTTGCAAAACAAACTTTCTCTTCCTATCCAATATACACTTGTTTTCTATCGGCATTCCAAATTTGCCGCCATTCATTTTCTCCACCAATAAAAACTGGCTGCAATAAAGCCAAATATTCGGAAGAGTGTCGTTTACTACCAACAATCAATCAAGCAATTATTGATATAAAATTGAAAGACAATTATGACTACTTATAACAATAAAGCGTATTATTTGAGATATTCAGAAGTTCATATATATAGGCTATTGTGAGTATCCCTTCATTTGATATAATATCTCTACCAATGCCAATGTATCGTATTATTTGATATTCACAAGTTACTTTGACTTCCAATGACATTAAAGCTAATTAATTACTTAACATAATATCTATGTTACTATAACATCCAGTGACAATGTACAATATTACTTGATATGATATCCAACCAGTAATGTCAAAAACAATATAAATGTCATAAAACAAATAATAAGTAAATACAATCTCAAGAAAAATCCATCTAATATTTGACTGATGTCTTTCCATGTCAATGAACCAAGTTCACCAGAATGTTTGTCGGTGGTTTCGGGTACACTGTCTTTAGCTTCTCCATATGGTTGCACTTTTCGTCCACACAAACATGAATTATCTTTCCAACATGCAAATTTAGCCAAGCAGCTAGTCGACATCTTTATAAGCCATTTGGGAACTGGAAGTTGTTCGTTTTTATGATGACAATCTAATACATATATAGTTATGATTACGGACAGCACACCCAAAGCTAGGACAAGCAGTAAGTAAATAGCTGAAATAAACATGTATTATAAAATGTATAATACTTCAAACCGTATTCATGGTGACAATCCAATACATATATACTACTCACAGCGAATAAATAATAGGTAAATACACAGGCACTTGTCTCAGAAAAAAAATCCTCTATACCTTACTTAATAATATAACACAAGGTACTTAAAACTCGCATTTTTTAAAAATGTCACTCGGTCGCGAACTTCCGTTATATTTCGATTTCACGGTTGTCAACCCCACTAAAACTTGATAGGTATACGATTTAGAATATTGGTTTTTTAAACTATATGTAATAAAATTATAAAAAGAAAAGTAGGGGTTAGTGGGCAAAATTGGTATTGTCACCATAAGGATAACACTAGAGGATTCCGAAAATCTGATATAAAGTCAAAAACATGAGAAGCGAGTATCCTTAAGCCGTTTTCTGTGTAATGTTTGGTTGATTGTTTGAGTCTTTTGTTCATCGTTTCTTTTTGGCAATGAACTTAACTGTTTAATGTGTAGCCTATTACGTATTCATGTTCTAGTACTTAACAAAACTCCTGCATGGCTAAATGCCCTTTTCAATATGCTTCATTTAATTACTGTGTATTCATTTGTATTCGTGGAGTACCAATTTTCGATAAGTCAACCACGATTGTACAAGTCTTCAACGGAGAACTAATTTCATATAGCTTGTGTTCAAAATTTTGCAAAACCACGAAATCAAGTATACACAAAAATACAATCTTTCCTCAATCCACAAAAATTGTACCCACGAAATTGAACAAATCTACAGTATAACGTATTCATCATTCATGCTTCAATTTAACACACTTTAAAATATACCACACAAAAACACTGTTTCGATAATTCCGATTTAAAAAGACAATCATTGGTGTTTAATTAAACGACTTTAAATAACATTACAAAAAAAACCCACTTTTTTTTCAATAATGCCGGTATTAAAAACTTCAAAGGATAGTTACGTGTTACTATTTCTAGATGTTTATTCACAGGCATACTTACTTAACACAGAGGTAGAACTTGAGGAGGACGGCATGTTATCAGATATAATTGTGAGATAGACAGCGTATGCTAGTAATACAGTTAGAGAATATCCTATCCTCTCTCCCGAATCCGGAGGTAGTTTGAATACCATGGAACTCAGGAACGCTAACAGAACCATTGGAATCAAGGAATTCAACACATGGAACACTGGTCGACGTTTGAACGTTAATGTGAACGTTATTTCTGGTGTAGAAGATCCCTCTCTAGTATTTGAGGTCGTGTAGGCTGAAAACCCTTGGTATTTCCATTCTCCATTCTCCTTGTAGTATTCCAAACGAACAGCTTCCTGCGCAACATAAAGTGCTATCTCTATTGAAGTATATCCCCACGTGGTAATAATCACATCACATGATTGGGTATCGAAAGGATAATATGTCACATCTGTCTCACAGTGTGTAATGTAGATTCCAGAGGGTGTCCAAATGACTGAGCCACCCGATTGAATTTTCATCAGTACATTTGCGTCACTCACTATCGAAATATCACTAACGCTACAAAGATGTACAAAAGATAAGACAGTTGACTTTATATGATAAGCCCAAATGCTAAGGCAAGTATAAACAGTACCTTGAAATATTTTTTCCAGGTTTGAGTACAATACTGAAAGCGACAAATAACCTGGTTTTCATTTGCTTGATCATCACGACGGGGCGAAATATGGAACCGGAACTGCTTACCCTCCGCAGCACCTGAGTTTACCGCCGGTATTTGATATTGCTCTGTCTTTACGGTTTTCTAGATAATGTTTTGTTATTGTTGTTTTTCATTTTGTCGTTATTATTTTGGTCATGTCATTAGGATGTTAGTCTTTTGAATTTTATGAATGTCACATTTTTTGCCTTTGACCTTCTCATGGGTGTACTTTGAGATGAATACATTTGTATAATGCATAATATATTCTGGAACAGGATAACTGATCCTTGAAGAGCACCTTACGTATACGCAATAAGATAATGTATCAATGTAGAACATCTTACGTTTACGCAATAAGATAATGTATCGATGTAGAGCATCTTACGTATTCGGAATAAGATAATGTATCAATGTAAAACATCTTACGTATTCGGAATAAGATAATGAATCAATGTAGAATCTTACGTACGTATTCGGAATAATATAATATATCAATGTAGATCACCTTACGTTTTCGGAATAAGATAATGTATCAATGTAGAACATCTTACGTATTCGGAATAAGATAATGTATCAATGTAAAACATCTTACGTATTCGGAATAAAAAAATGTATCAATGTAAAACATCTTACGTATTCGGAATAAGATAATGTATCAATGTAAAGCACCTTACGTATTCGGAATAAGATAATGTATCAATATAGAGCATCTTACGTATTCGGAATAAGATAATGAATCAATGTAGAATCTTACGTACGTATTCGGAATAATATAATATATCAATGTAGATCACCTTACGTTTTCGGAATAAGATAATGTATCAATGTAGAACATCTTACGTATTCGGAATAAGATAATGTATCAATGTAAAACATCTTACGTATTCGGAATAAAAAAATGTATCAATGTAAAACATCTTACGTATTCGGAATAAGATAATGTATCAATGTAAAGCACCTTACGTATTCGGAATAAGATAATGTATCAATATAGAGCATCTTACGTATTCGGAATAAGATAATGTATCAATGTAGAATCTTACGTACGTATTCGGAATAATATAATGTATCAATGTAGATCACCTTACGTTTTCGGAATAAGATAATGTATCAATGTAGAACATCTTACGTATTCGGAATAAGATAATGTATCAATGTAAAACATCTTACGTATTCGGAATAAAATAATGTATCAATGTAAAACATCTTACGTAATCGGAATAAGATAATGTATCAATGTAGAGCACCTTACGTTTTCGGAATAAGATACCATATCAATGTAGAACATCTTACGTATTCGGAATAAGATAATGTATCAGTGGAAAACATCTAACGTATTCGGAATAAGATAATGTATCAATGTAAAGCATCTTACGTATTCGGAATAAAATAATGTATCAATGTAGAGCATCTTACGTATTCGGAATAAAATAATGTATCAATGTAAAACATCTTACGTATTCGGAATAAGATAATGTATCAATGTAGAGCACCTTACGTTTTCGGAATAAGATACTATATCAATGTAGAACATCTTACGTATTCGGAATAAGATAATGTATCAGTGGAAAACATCTTACGTATTCGGAATAAGATCATGTATCAATGTAGAAAATCTTACGTATTCGGAATAAGATCATGTATCAATGTAGAGCACCTTACGTATTCGGAATAAGAAAATGTATCAAAGTACGTATTCGGAATAAAATATTGTATAAATGTAAAACACAATAGTTATTTGGAATAAGATAATGTATCAATGTAGAGCATTTAACGTATTCGGAATAAGATAATTGTATCAATGTAGAGTATCTTACGTATTTGCAATAATATAATGTATCAATGTAAACCCCCCTTTACGTATTCGGAATAAGATAATTTATCAATGTAGCGCATCTTACGTATTCGGAATTAAATAATGTATCAATGTAGAGTACTTTACGTATTCGTAATAAGATGATGTATCAATGTAGAGCACCTTACGTTTTCAGAATAAGATAATGTATCATAATGTATCAATGTAGAGCTCCTTAGTAATTTGGAATAAAATATTATATCAATATAGAGCATCTTACGTATTCGGAATTAAATAATGTATCAATGTAGAGCACTTTACGTATTCGGAATAAGATAATGTATCAATGTAGAGCACTTTACATTTTCAGAATAAGATAAGGTATCATAATGTATCAATGTAGAGCACCTTAGTTATTCGGAATAAAATATTGTATTAATGTAGAACACATAAGTTATTCGGAAAAAGATAATGTATGAATGTAGAGCATCTTACGTATTCGGAATAAGATATTGTATTAATGTAGAGCATCTTACGTATTCGGAATAAGATAATGTATCAATGTAGAGCACCTTATGTATTCGGAATAAGATAATGTATCAATGTAGAGCATCTTACGTATTCGGAATAAGATAACGTATCAATGTAGAGCATCTTACGTATTCGAAATAAGATAACGATCAATGTAGAGCATCTTACGTAGTCGGAATAGAGATAATGTATCAATGTATTTCATTTTACGTATTCGGAATAAGATAATTTATCAATGTAGAGCATCTTACGTATGCGTAACAAAATAATTGATCCTCGTAGCATAAGATTGATTGATTGTTGTTTGCTGCTTGTTTAACGTTCAGTGACAAATATTTAATATAGTTGTTAACTTCTGTGTCATTTGGTCTCTGATGGAGAGCTATCTCATTGGCAATTATACCACATCTATATGACCTTTAAGGTAGGTCAGCAATCATACCATATATTCTTTTTTATGTGAAATAAAGGGGGATTAAAACTGCCACTGATAAATGAGGGTTTGTACGCTACGTTTAGAAATCTAGTCTCGCAACTGTCTACCTATGGACCCCTCAAGGAGCTGTTGTTCTCTAATGTAATGAGATCATGACACCCTGTCAACATAAGGCATCGGATAAAATGTTCGAAAATCCGGTACCTTTCGGACATGGTTGTGAATTTATACATCCTATAAAGCCAATTGAACGCCCCTACTAAAGTAACAGTTTCCTGACGGACGGGAGAAGTCCCCGGATGATTATATGTCTATACTGCAGTTTACCCTCTAGACTTCATTCGTGTGGACCCGTTATTTTCATTAAATGGATTTGAGACGTCATTAAATTTAATCAAAACCATAAAAGTTTCAATAATTTCAATAGAAAAGATTTTTCAAATTACGAAAATTCAAACTGCAAGTTTTGTATATCGGAGGTACACTTTTACAGGGGACAAAACTTGAGACTTTGAAAAAAGGGGAACAACAGGCGACGTCGAGCATTCTTTCAAATAAAATCTGAGTTAAATACAAAAACTTGCGAGCCATTTCAAAAAATGAATATATAGACTTACGAATTTTCAATAATAAGAGCCGGCCGCCAAATATTTTCTTCGTTACTGTAAATAGCCGGTATACTTGTATTATAGGTGGCATCTTGAGACCAGTCTAACCTCTGATCATCCCAAAACTGTAATTAAAACGAAAGAAATAGAAACCTGGTAAGGTTATACATGTATTATATAAAAAAATATAAAAATGTATCAAATTTAGGAATTTGACCAAATCATAAATTGTTCCAAGGGTAATCGTTGGTAGACATTTTTCTGATTGAACGGTCACTGTAGCAAGTCAAGGATATGACAATTAATCGGAAATTGTTCTAAAGATAATCGTTAGAAGATATTTTTCCGATGTCGGGCAAATAGTATATATTTGCCCAATGCAGGGCAGATTGAAGACTTAATATTTTCTAAGTCGGGCAGATAGTAGATATTTTCCGATATCGGGCAGATTGGACGGAGACTGATTTTGAGCTTCTGTATTTCAGTCTTACCATTGTCAGATATCCAGCTAACGACATCGCCTGGTCACTTATACTCTAAAATGGAAAAAGATAGTGTATCATGTATAATCTTACAGTAACTATTTAGATAAAAAAAACCAGAAATAATAGCGCTGCATATTAACTATTTTTTGTTTCATGCACAACCACTTCATTTCATTCCCTTTCCAATACTAGTAATATCATTTTGTGGTATTGTTTTTATTTAACTCTTATATGATTTGCATATCTACAAATATCCGATATTATGTTAAGTTTGTGAGTCAGTGGCCCAGTTTACACATAACCCCTTGAAAATTGTATTTAATCCTTAAAATTCTCAACCCATATATTTGAGTTTTTTCCCTTCAATTTCAACTTTCATGGAACCCCAGGATTCAATTAATGTGTATCGTGCATGGATCATATATCACAGTGAAATCGACATAGTATTTACATACATGGTAGTTTCGGCAACATGATCTATCGGATGGTAAACCAAGGGTGAAAATCAAACTGACCAACCACATTCGAATGTTTATGTCTCAGTAAAGTAAAGATATGGACAATACGTAACTGTTTAGTGTCTTTGAATATCAGCTGTATTTGTACGAGGCTTAGAAACAAGTGTAATGCGAGCTTCAGCGAGCTATAACTCCTGTTTCGAGCCGAGTACAAATACAGCTGATATTTAAAGACACTAAACAGTTATTGTATTTATCCTGCAAATCATTTTGTACATTGTTTTTGTTTCGGAAGACAGAAAAACTCACATTTTTTTGCATTTATTTTCGATTTAAAATCCTTTGAGGCCCACGTAGTAATATTTTTTAAAAATCACAAAATCAGCTGATGACGGGTATGCCGAAAAGAATCTCATGGTCAACAATAATACATCGCTCAAAATTAATCATTCTTTATTTTAACGTAACAACTAATTTCAACAGTAAAACGAAATAACAAAACATTGTCCGATTTAAGACAAAAGTGATTGATTTGTCCTACGCTTCAGAATGTCGAACTGTCCGTACATTCACTGATTATTGACATTGTTGCATGGTTGATTTTGTGGGTTACACATTCAAGTTTTGAACTTTGAAGATTGGCGCCGGAGAAATGGAGTCAATCCTGCTGATCATGTGTGTCTATGAGCAGAAAGTGGGTTGCGGATCCGAGACTGGAACATTCACAGACGGAGCAATACTTCATTGGAATGCGATTGCAAAACACATTCTGAGGTCACAAAAGTTCATACAACACTCAACAGCAATACACAAAAATAGTCCGGCAGTGGGCGGAGCTTTAAAGCGATATCTATATAGTATATAAATACAGGCTAGTGATATCTGTTGGGCTGTTAATGTATGATAAGACACACAATTGGATGATAAATAACTTTATCTCGTAGTGAAATGAAGAAATCGGTTTGTCCCATAGTGAAGTGTAAGATATCTGTCTCATATTTAAGTGTTCTATATATAAGTTTAACTCCCTAGTGAAGTGTAGATATCGGTTTGTCTCACAGTTAAATAATGATATCAGATCATCTAGGTAGATATAGAACAAGTAAAATGTTTTGTTTACTTACCAATGAATTAAGAGTAATAATATTTAACGCCACAGTTACATTAACTTGAGATAAAGGTCTGACAAATAGATTGTAGGTTGTTCCGATACCAAGGGACGTTCTCAAATTGTCCTCCAATGCATAACTATATGCTGTGTGTACATTTTTAACAGCTACAAATAGACAGTAGTATAAAAGCAATAATTTGATGTTTGTAAAACTATGTGTAATCAAATATAAACTTTGAAAATTTCCAGAGCTTGTGTTTCCTATCATGATGATTAAAGTAATTAGTTTCCCTTCGAAAGTTTTTCTGACGTCATTATGACGTCATTGATGGTTATGGAATATCCGTGTCAAAGATGACCATTGATATGTTCCAGTTATTATTTCGAAAACTCCGTCCATTGTTCTTCGATATAGACACCAAAGACTGCAACTTATCATCGTTGTTGTACTTGCTATGAGCAACACGACAGGTCCCACTGGTTCACCAGGATCTGCTTATCCTTCCGGAGCACCCGAGGTCGCTTGTTGGTGGGTTCCTATTGTTAGTCTTTAGTTTTCGGTGTAGTGTTTTGTAGACTATTGTTTTGTTAGTTTTTCGTCGGTTTTCTCTTTGGCCATGGTTTAATCTGTTTTACTGATACATTTAATTTCTTATAGTTTGTACTCTTTGTATGTACTTTATAAATTGTCTATACAAAGTAAAATGCATGATATAAAAAAAGATTAAGGATCAACATAAGACAATTCATTCAAACAATCCCTTTAAATTCAAATACCTTGATTTCTAAAAGGATTTTCTTATTTCCTTTCTTATAACCTAACAGAAAGCAAACACAAAAAAAAAACCCAAAGAGAAACACATAACAATGGCTAAACCTGAAGAGTTTCTGCGTAGTTGACATATTTCCTTTTGGAGATCGTTCGAAAGTTGGCATCTTTTGTCACATACATGTATTATATCTCGGGCTCGATGGCGCGTGCAATATATTCTCGTTCTCTTTAAGAAGTTTGCATGCCTGAACCAATAATCCCCGCCGGCAAAATGTCAGCAAGAACAAGATCATCACATACCAAGAAGTTCCGCCAATATTCAATCAAGACTAATGGCTTCAAATATATTTTTTTTCCCAAGAACAGAGACCACCTGGAACTTTTCATCAGCAACAGTAGCTGAGGCTCCTTCCTTGGTATTCCTCAAGAGGGAGCTTTCAACACTATCTTTCTAGTCTGTTCAGTCCCCCGTTTGCCAAGTAAGTGAAATGATGGACTGGGGCTGTGCCGGCGGGGAATATTTCCCTGGTACCGCCACGGAAGTTGGATTGGTTCACGCCAGATGACTCACCGTTTCTTTCTTTCTTTCTTTCTTTCATTCTTTCTTTCTTTCTTTCTTTCTTTCTTTCTTTCTTTATTATATCATACCATACCTATATACTTGCTTTATATATATTTGGTTTTATGTTATAAAATTACTCTTTTTCTTGAGACCACCAAATGTAGATGTAGATGGGGAACATATTTTCGTCATGAGTTATGATTTCTTTTAAAATCGATGGCACGTGCATAGAACACCTTTTTTTGTCACAGATTTTCTCTCGAGATCAATTGCGTGTTGGTTACATTTTCTTCACATACATTTAATAAAACCTCGCCTCAACTCTCTTATATTATTCTAATCAGAAACTAGTTATGTACTTTCAACAGTATTTTGTAAAACTCAAGGTCGGTGCATAATATTAATCTTTTAGTGTTCATTTCAATGAAAATATTGTTTTGTTTGTACAAACTTAAATAATTTTTTCAATACATATGTTTTAAACCTGTAACAATTATCTCTTTAAATCGTGAGGAATAAAGTAGAGCGTGAAAGATTTTTATTGAAATGATTTGAATTTATTGAAAACATTTTATTGATTGTAAATGACAATCGTTTAAACTTATGTCTATATATATGTAGTAGACTAAAGTAAATAATTACGGTACATTTAAAAATATCTTCAGAATTTAAGAAAATAAATACACAGAAGTATAAACTTGCTATTGTGAATTCAGAAAATGTTTTCACAACTATTCTCACAATAAATGAAGTAGTTAATGAAAAAAAAAGACCTTAATAAAATGGGGTTTGCTCATTGTTCAAAGCCGTACGGTGACCTATAATTAATTTTTACGTTATTTAATATATGGATGATAGTTGTCTTATTGGCAATCATACCACATCTCCTTATTTTTATATCAATGGTATAGGTTTTGCTCATTGTTGAAAGCCGTACGATGACATGCAGTGGTTAACTTATACGTCATTTGGTCTGACCACCTCGGTGGTCTCGTGGCAGCTTGTTTGCCTCAAGTGCGGGAGGTTGTGGGTTTGAACTCCGGCCTAGTCAAACCAAAGACTTTAAAATTGGTATTTGCTGCTTCTCCGCTAAGCATTTGGCATTAAGGAGTAAGAGCAAAGACTGGTCGACTTGGAGTCAGAATAATGTGTCCGGGTAAGGTGACATGTCTTCCTGCGGACTGTTACCTTGTGAACTAGCACGTTACAAATCCGGCTCAGTGTGTCGGTCTAGTACAAAGCAGGTTTAATATTCATATTACATTACCATGTTCTTATCCTGAATATGCATATTAATTTGCCGCTGAATGTTAAGCAGTCATTCATCATCATCATCATTTGGTCTCTTGTGGAGAGTTGTCTCATTGGCAATCATACCACATCTTCGTATTTATGTAAAAGACCAAACAAAGTAAACAACAGTCGTTAAATTCGAATCGAATCAAATAAAATACGCGATTACCGATCCTGGACTCACGGAGGACAATAATAAATGAAAAAAATATGATTTGCTGCATGAGATTATAAAAGGGGGACGAAAGATACCAGAGGGACAGTCAAACTCTAGATCGAAAACAAACTGACAACGCCATGGCCAAAAATAAAAAGACAAAAAGACAAATAATAGTACAGATGACACAACATAGAAAACTAAAGACTAAGCAACACGAACCCCACCAAAAACTGGGGTGATCTCAGGTGCTCCGGAAGGGTAAGCAGATCCTGCTCCATATGTGGCACCCGTCGTGTTGCTTATGTATTACAAATCCGGTAAATAGTCTAATTCGGTAGGTCACATTCGTGAAAAGGGAAGGGTATTGTAGATACGACATAAGGAACATATCCGATATCATCTGTGAAACGGTTATTCCATTACGGTCAACCAACTCGTGATGGCGTCCGTAAAATTTACGAAGGGATGATTTCAACTTCACCATTTGGAATTCTTGGTTTAATAGCTTCCTTGTGAGCAGCAATTCTCTATCAAGGAAATCATGATAGGAAATACAAGCCCGGGAATATCGTATCAATTGGGAGATATATACTCCGTATGCAGGCGCTACTGGAATGTTGCTACATAGAAATGGAAAGTTCACAATTGGGAAGCTGAAATCATCTCTTTTGTCGTAAAGTTTTGTTTTCAACCGACCCTCATTGTCAATTTCTAGATGTAAGTCAAGATATGAGGCAGACTTAACTGTATCTGTAGTATCCTTTATCTCTAGTTCGATGGGATAGATTCGTTCAACATAGTCACCAAATTTTGTATTATTTAGTGAGAGAACATCATCTATATAGCGGAACGTAAAGTTAAAGGATATTGCTAACTTCTTATCTTTCTTCCTAAGAAGTTCCTGTATGAAGTCAGCCTAATAATAATAAAGAAACAAGTCGGCAAGAAGAGGGGCACAATTGGTTCCCATTGGAATTCCGAGTCTATTGAAAAACACGTCCTCCAAACGTAACAAATATGTTGTCAATCAAGAAATCAAGCATCTTGATAATGGCAGTTTCAGAGAATCTTCCGTTTGAATCAGAGTGATTCTTTACAAAGTAGGATTTATCCCTCCCCAAGACAAGATACTTGTATCTACGTTCGCCATTCTTTTTAATGAAACAAAGTAATACCAACTTTTTCAATTTGTCTTTTAGTTTGGAATTGGGAATACTTGTGTAAAGTGTAGAAAAGTCAAATGTTTTAATACTATTGCAAGATGAGAGAGTCTTAGATTGTATGTACTCTAAAAGATCTTTGGAATTTTTTAGTATCCACATCTGATTCACGCCACCTCTAGAATAGGCAGTTTCACAATAACTTTGGAGCCCGGCTTTGATTGCTGATAAAATAGATGTTAATAATCTAGAAAGAGGTTTCGTGGAGCACTTGGAAGACCCAGCAATATACCGTTGTTTGTAGGGACACTTATGTAGTTTAGGTATCCAATACAGTGATGGAAGATCCAGTTCTTTATCTTTGGTTGAAAAATTAGCGCAACGTAACCTGGCTAAATTCATTCAATCATATCTTCCATAACTTGGGGTTATAACACGGGTTCCACAGTTCCTTAGGATCACGGAGCATACTATCTTGAATCCGGATCCCTACCAATGGGACCGCGAGCCCTATCATTGGAGTCTGGAGTCCTGTTAGTTGAGTCTGTTGCCCTATCAATGGAGCCCATAGGACACAAAACATTTGCAGTACAATTTAGGAGTTTTAAGTGATTGACAATGCAGGGGCGTAGAAATATTCTTGTTGCATGGATCGATATATTGAAAATAACCATTTTAAAAGAGATATAAGGGAGCTTTATATGTGCCCTGTCGTAAGACAAATTCACTAACCCTACCAACCATGCCCCTTATATCATGTTTTGTCACATATCTATTACCTTTATTTTTTTGGGGGGAGGGGGGTGATGCTTAAGTAGCGTATGCTATAATTGGTTGTTGCCCTGAATACACGTGGTATATAATTATGTTACTTGCTATTCAGAAAACCATAACATATAATAATTTTTCATATAAAAACTTTTTTTTTTCAATATCTTTGATTTAATCATACTTCATCATGGTAAATCTAGTTAAAATGATTTAATCAAACTTCATCGTGGCAATGATTTGATTTTCTCATACTTCATCGTGGCAATGATTTGATTTAATCATTCTTCATCGTGGCAATGATTTAATCATACTTAATCATGGCAATGATTTGATCATACTTCATCATGGCAATGATTTGATCATACTTCATCGTGGCAATGATTTGATTTAATCATACTTCATCGTGGCAATGATTTGATCATACTTCATCATGGCAATGATTTGATCATACTTCATCGTGGCAATGATTTGATTTGATCATACTTCATCATGGCAATGATTTGATCATACTTCATCGTGGCAATGATTTGATCATACTTCATCGTGGCAATGATTTGATCATACTTCATCGTGGCAATGATTTGATCATACTTCATCATGGCAATGATTTGATCATACTTCATCGTGGCAATGATTTGATCATACTTCATCATGGCAAACCAAAGTTTTAAGAATGTAAAATACATTTCATCTCGTTAGAAAAATCAATTTAATTTCCTAAAATTCACCGCACATAACTACATAGACTAAAATAAAAAGTATACTCTCTTTTTATGAGAGGGATAAAAAATACCTGTATCAAAAGGTAATTAATGGAGGACTTACCTGTTGTTAAAAGTAGAAAATGTATTACTACAATCATTGTTAGTTTTCCTTGGTTCTTCTTTCATTCACCAATGTCCAAGTCTAAACTTGAAAGTGGTCCTAGAGGTAGAAAGTTCATTAAAATCTGATAACAAAATACTTTCTTTTGATAATAAAATCCGATACAATTCGGTTCAGGTGATCTTTTTTAAAATTCTTTTCATTTAAATTTTGATCAGATCGTGTCTTTTAAAACTATTTTTGAATACCTTCCTACATAAAGTAAAGGTTTACATTGAAGTGGTTTATATCTAAACTTTTTCTTTCAGCTGTACATTTTTTTAGATTAGGAAAAAAAACTTATAAAAGTGTGACTCTTATTTAAGTATAAATTCGGTGACTGTATTTTATTAGATGAAATATACTGAATTTGCTAATGATAAAAAAAGATAGTAACTTGACACCAAAATGTTCACTTGCTTGATCCGAAAAACAAATCCGAAAACAAATCCGACTTTCCAAAACTAAAAAGACCGTGTGAAAAAAATATGGGGTTAAATATCATTAGTCTATTAAATATTTAAAAGCATACTATCTCATTGTATGTCATATAAGTAACGGATAATGTTAAACTACAATATTTAAAAACATCTAAATCGTGAAAAGTAGTAAAAAGTAAAATAGTGTAACATTTCGTGTAACGTTTGAATAGTTGTATAAATATTGTGTTACGTGTATTTAATTAGTTTGTACATTGAGGGCGTGTTAGTAACGGAGATAAAGCACACAGTCAACGAATAACAAAGAATTGATGTAAATTGTCTGTTTTACGGATTTGACCGTCACGTGTAGGGTTTTATATTTTTACAGATTGACTTGACACTTGCAGGGTTTTATATCATAATACTTCTTAAGCTCCTTGCATTATATTTGTTATTAATGTTGTTATACTCGGCATGAACAATGTTTTTAAGTTAACTTAGAACAAATTGGTTGCTCAGCTTGCTTAAGTTACAGAGACCAACTGGTTGCTTTCCTTTTTTAAGTTACTTAGAAAAAAGTGGTTGCTTTCCTTTCTACAGTCACTTAGAACAAACTGGTTGCCTTGCTTTCTTAAGTTACTTAGAAAAAATTGGTTGCTTTCCTTTTTTTGTTACTGATGACAAACTGGTTGCTTTCCTTTCTTAAGTTTCTGAGAACAAATTGGTTGCTTACCTTTTTTAGTTGATGAGGACAAACTGGTTCTTGTCTTGGTCAAGTTACTTAGAACAAAAGAGTTGCTTTCCTTTGTTGAGTTACTGAGAACCATCTGGTTGCTTACCTTGCTTAAGTTACTAAAACAAACGTGTTGCTTACCTTTCTTACGTTTCAGCAAATTCCAAAAGTCTATGTGATGAAAACAATAAAAATTCACTTTCAGCTAACTACAAAATGTAGCACAATGTGTCAAAATTATAATACGAGCTATATGAACGCGATCATAATATGAATATTCATTTAATTAGTACAGTGTAATTATGTAACACTTTCCTGAATAAATAATACTCGTTCTTACTTCTAACATGCATAGATCCAATCTGATTAAAATTCAGATCTATCACAGTAATGAGGATTACGAAATGCGGGATCTATATTTTAATTATATTGTAATAGATCACTTAGTCTAGTCTGATTAAATATAGTATTTATACAGGTTACTCGTTATGGTGCTCGGAAATGATTGTTTAATGGAAGTGAAATGAGATTCTGTCATTAAACAATTACATGTATATCAATATGTACTGATAAAAATCAATTAAACTAATATACTTAACGAGTTCTTCTTGTTCCCCAAATTAAATCTTGTTGATTAATTTTAAACTTTGTAATGATTGTTAGTTCTGTAACTGATAAAACATATTTGTGAGGCCCCTCATGGGGGTGTCGAAGTAATCTCATAATCGCATATTAATCATTAATTTTTTTTAAACAAGATAATAAAATAATGTAAAAAACTAGTATGTTGTATTTATTTGATTTTTATGATGGACCAAAAAATATGGAGCTTAAATACACAATCATATATTGTCAAATAAAAATAGGCACAATGTTCAAAATATTTAGTTTACACAAATATCATACAATATTTCTGTTTCATGCATTCCAAATGTATTACGACATACTCGACCTCGAATGAGTCAAATCTCGGATAATTCGAATACTTTCGTCCGGTCCCTTCGACTTCGGCTTTACGAGATTCGACTGCGTATAATTCCAAAAATTTTAATTCTTTTTTTTTTCTTTCATTTGGGCTTTTGCTTTCAACTAACAAATCTAAATGAATGTGAAAAATCTTCTTATGCTAGGATTTCAACAAAAATCGTAAATAGGTACAATAAGCTATTTCATTGTGATTGGCGTTGCTAAACAAATTAAAAAATGGTACAAACTTACGAAAAAAAAAATTTCAAACCGAGAAACACCTTTTTATGGTAGGATTTTAACACATTTTTTAATGTAGGTATAATTTGTTATTCCAAATTGTTTTCAGTGCCAAATATTGGGTACAGTTTGTTTAGGTGAAAAACTAAAATACACGTTTACCGATCCTGGACTCACGGTGGACAATAATAAATGAAAAAAATATGATTTGCTGCATGAATTTATAAATGAGCACAACGTAACCTGGCTAAATTCATTCAATCATATCTTGGGGTTATAACACGGGTTCCACAGTTCCTTAGGATCACGGAGCATACTATCCTGAATCCGGATCCCTACCAACGGAGCTGCCAGTCCTATCATTGGAGCCTGGAGTCCTGTCAGTTGAGTCTGTTGCCCTATCAATGGAGCCCATAGGACACAAAACATTTGCAGTATAATTTAGCAGTTTTAAGTGATTGACAAAACAGGGGCGTGGAAATATTTTTGTCGCATGGATATATTGAAAATGACCGTAGAGAAAAGAGCTAGAAGGGAGCTTTATATGTGCCCTGTCGTAAGACAAATTCACTGACCCTACCAACCATGCCCCTAATATCATGTTTTAGTCACATGTCTACGAACTTTATTTGGGGGGGGGGGGGGGGGGGGAGGGGGAATGATGCATACGTAGCGTATACTATAATTGGTTGTCGCCCTGAATACACGTTGGATATAATTATGTTACTTGCTATTCAGAAAACCACAACATATAATATTTTTTCATATAAAAAAATATCTTTGATTTAATCATACTTTATTATGGCAAATCTAGTTAAAATGATTTGATCATACTTCATCATGGCAATGGCAATGATTTGATCTTACTACATCATGGCAATGGCAATGATTTGATCTTACTTCATCATGGCAATGATTTGATCATATTTGATCATGGCAATGATTTAATCATACTTCATCATGACAATGATTTGATCATATTACTTCATGGCAATGATCTGATCATATTTCATCATGGCAATGATTTGATCTTACTACATCATGGCAATGATTTGATTATACTTCATCATGGCAATGATTTGATGATACTTCATCATGGCAATGATTTAATCATACTTCATCATGGCAATGATTTGATGATACTTCATCGTGGCAATGATTTGATGATACTTCATCGTGGCAATGATTTGATGATACTTCATCGTGGCAATGATTTGATCGTACTTCATCGTGGCAAAGATTTAATCGTATATTATCATGGCAATGATTTGATCATACTTCATCATGGCAATGATTTGATCATACTTCATCATGGCAATGATTTGATCATACTTCATCAAGGAAATGGTTTGATCATACTTCATCATGGCAATGGCAATGATTTGATCTTACTACATCATGGCAATGATTTGATCATACATCATCATGGCAATGATTTGATCATATTTGATCATGGCAATGATTTAATCATACTTCATCATGACAATGATTTGATCATATTTCTTCATGCATTGATCTGATCATATTTCATCATGGCAATGATTTGATGATACTTTATCGTGGCAATGATTTGATCATACTGCATCGTGGCAATGATTTGATCATACTTCATCGTGGCAATGATTTGATGATACTTCATCGTGGCAATGATTTGATTATACTTCATCGTTGCAATGATTTGATCGTACTTCATCGTGGCAAAGATTTAATCGTATTTCATCATGGCAATGGTTTGATCATACTTCATCATGGCAATGATTTGATCATACTTCATCATGGCAATGATTTGATCATACTTCATCAAGGAAATGATTTGATAATACTTCATCATGGCAATGATTTGATAATACTTAATCATGGCAATGATTTGATCATACTTCATCATGGCAATGATTAAATCCTACTTAATCGTATCAATGAATTAATCATACTTCAATTACATTGTATACTTCATCGTGGCAATGATTTGATCATACCTCATCATGGCAATGATTTGATCATACTTCATCGTGGCAATTATTTGATCATCTTTCATCGTGGCAATGATTTGATCATACTTCATCATGGCAAACCAAAGTTTTAAGAATGTAAGATACATTTCATCTCGTTAGAAAAATCAATTTAATTTCCTAAAATTTACCGCACATGAGTTCATACACTAAAATAAAAAGTATACTCTCTTTTTATGAGAGGGATAAAAAATACCTGTATCAAAAGGTAATTAATGGAGGACTTACCTGTTGTTAAAAGTAGAAAAGGTATTACTACAATCATTGTTAGTTTTCCTTGGTTCTTCTTTCATTCACCAATGTCCAAGTCTAAACTTGAAAGTGGTCCTACCTTTTCGGTTTAATTGATCTTTTTTAAAAATTCTTTTCATTTAAATTTTGATCAGATCGTGTCTTTTAAAACTATTTTTGAATACCGTCCTACATAAAGAAACTGTTTACATTGAAGTGGTTTATATCTAAACTTTTTCTTTCAGCTGAACATTTTTTTTAAATTAGGAAAAAAAAATATAAAAGTGTGACTCTTATTTAAGTATAAATTCGGTGACTGTATTTAGGTGAAATATACTGAATTTGCTAATGATAAAAAAGATAGTAACTTGACACAAAAATTATCACTTGCTTGATCCGAAAAACAAATCCGACTTTCCAAAACTAAAAAGACAGTGTGAAAAAAATATGGGGTTAAAAATCACCAGTCTTTTAAATATTTAAAAGCATACTATCTACATTTTATGTCATATAAGTAACGGACAATGTTAAACAGCAATATTTAAAAACTTCTTAATTGTGAAAAGTAATAAAAAGTAAAATAGTGTAACATTTCGTGTAACGTTTGAATAGTTGTATAAATATTGAGTTACATATATTTAATGTTTAACAATTAGTTTGTACATTGAGGGCGTATTAGTAACGGAGATGAAACACATAGTCAACAACTAACAAAGGAATAATGTTAATTGTCTGCTTTACGGATTTGACTGCACGTGTAGGGTTTTATATTTTTACAGATTGACTGACACGGGCAGGGTTTTATATCATAATACTTTTTAAGTTCCTTGCATTATATTTGTTATTAATGTTGTTGTACTCGGCATGAACGATGTTTCTAAGTTAAAATATAACTGTTCAAGCCGACTCCTCTGACCCACATCGTGCCTTAGGTAGCAAGCCAACCATTTAAACTCAAAAAAGGGGGGAGTATGGTTTCTTGTCTAAATTGAAAAAAATAATTTGATTGATAGCGTCGAAAAACTAAAAAAAAAAAGTTCCCGCTTTGCACGAAAAAAATTCTGAAAATTTAACACTATAAGGTATGGGGAAAATCTGGATTAAGATTTTTTTTTTTGTCATCTGCTTAAACCACAATATTTTTTTTAGCAAAAAAACCGTATATCCCAGAATAAACAGGTTGCTTTCCTTTCTTAAGTTACTGAGAACGAACTGGTTTCTTTCCTACCTTAAGTTACTGAGAAAAAATTGGTTGCTCCCTTTCTTACGTTACTGGGAACAATTAAACTGATTGCTTTCCTTTCTAAAGTTACTGAGAACAAACTGATTGCTTTCTTTTCGTAAGTTATAGAGAACAAACTGGTTGCTTTCCTTTCTTAAATGACAGAGAACAAACTGGTTGCTTCCCTTCCTTGATTTACTGAGAAAAAACTGGTTGCTTTCCTTCCTTAAGTTACTGAGAACAAACTGGTTGCTTTCCTTCCTTAAATTACTGAGAACAAACTGGTTACTTTCCTTCCTTAAGTTACTGAGAACAAACTTGTTGCTTTCCTTTCTTAAGTTACTGGATTCAAACAGGTTGCTTTCCTTACGTCAGTTACTGAGAACAAACTGGTTGCTTTCCTTTCTTGATTTACAGAGAACAAACTGGTTGCTTCCCTTCCTTGAGTTACTGAGAACAATACGATTGCTTTCCTTCCTTGACTTACTGAGAACAAACTGGTTGGTTTCCTTTCTTAAGTAACTGAGAACAAATTGGTTGCTTTCCTTTTTTCAGTTTCTTAGAACAAATTGGTTGCTCACCTTGCTTAAGTTACTGAGAACAAACTGGTTGCTTTCCTTTTTTAAGTTACTTAGAACAAACTGGTTGCTTTCCTTTCTTAAGTTACTGAGAACAAACGGTTTGCTTTCCTTTCTTAAGTTACTGAGAACAAACTGGTTGCTTTCCGTCCTTAAGTGACTGAGAACAAACGGTTTGCTTTCCTTTCTTAAGTTATTTAAAACAAATTGGTTGCTCACCTTGCTTAAATTACTGAGAACAAACTGGCTGCTTTCCTTTTAAGTTACTAAGAACAAGCTTGTTGCTTTCCTTTCTTAACTTACTAAGAACAAACTGGTTGCTTTTCTTTTTATAGTTACTGAGGACTGTTGTGTTCCTTAGAACAAACTGGTTGCTTACCTTGCTTACGTTACTTAGAACAAATTGGTTGCTTACCTTGCTTAAGTAAATCAGGACAAACTGGTTGTTTTCCTTTTTTAGTTACTGAAGACAAGCTGATTGCTTGTCTTGGTTAAGTTACTAAGAACAAAAGAGTTGTTTTCATTTGTTGAGTTATTAAGAACAATCTTGTTGCTTACCTTGCTTAAGTTAATCAGAACAAACTGATTGCTCACCTTTCTTAAGTTTCTGAACACAAACTGGTTGATACCCTTTCTTACGTTTCAGAAAATTCCAAAAGTCTAAGAACATGTGATGATAACAATAAAAAGTCACTTTAAGTTAACTACAAAATATAGCACAATGTGTCAACATTATAATACGAGCTATATTAACGCGATCATAACATGAATATTCATTTAATTAGTACAGTGTAATAGACCACTTTCGAGTTATGTCCTTCACCGGAAAAAATCGTCAATTATGCGCTTTTGTGACGTCATTTGCCAGATAGATAGGAATGCCGGTATCCCTGCACTATTAACGTTGATCAAGCATCTTAGTGATCGTCATTGAGCAGGATAAACAAAAAATAATGTTTGTTCCGTAGATACTTAATCACAATTCCCTAATGACAGTAGTAATGATTGTCAATTATAAGAATTAAATTTGCCGAATACTTTGTTTAATATAGTATCATATTTTTCAAACAACTCGCTCAGCATGGGAAGAAAAGTGACGATGCCCCTTAACGCACGAATGATGTTCACTAAAACAACGTTTTTGACGGAAATGCATCGAACTCGAAAGTTGTCTATTAAGTATGACTTTCCTGAATGAATAATACTCGTTCTTACTTCTAATATAAATAGATCCAATCTGATTAAAATTCAGATCTATCACAATAATTACGAAGTGAGGGATCTATATTTTAATTATATTGTAATAGATCACTAGTCTGATTAAATATAGTTTTTTTTCAGGTTAATTGTTATGGTGCTCGGAAATGATTGTTTAATGGAAGTAAAATGAAATTCTGTCATTAAACAATTACATGTATATCAATATGTACTGATAAAAATCAATTAAACAAATATACTTAACGAGTTCTTCTTATTCCCCAAATTAAATCTTATTGATTAATTTTAAACTTTGTAATGATTGTTAGTTCTGTAACTGATAAAACATATCTGTGAGGCCCCTCATTGGGGTGTCCAATTAATCACAATATCATAATTCTTTTGCCAATATAATCACATAATCATTAAAAAATTTTTTTAAACAAGATAATCAAATAATAAAAAATACGGTCCTAAATTATCAAATAATCAAAAATACGGTCCTAAATTATCAAATAATTAAATAATCATGATATATTTTGTCTGGTAATCAAATAATCACAATAAAAAACGGCCAAGTAATCACATAATCAACAAGAATGTGTCCACAGTACACGGATGCCCCACTATCACTATCATTTTCTATGTTCAGTGGACCGTGAAATTGGGATCAAAACTCTAATTTAACATTACAATTAAAAAGATCATATCATAAGGAACATGTGTACTAAGTTTCAAGTTGATTGGACTTCGACTTCATAAAAAACTACCTTAACCAAAAACTATCGTAGGTGGGGCATAAAAACCCCACGAGCAGGCTCATTTGTACATCAGAATTCTTCTGTCACAACAACATTTCACAATTTAATGTTTTGTTGCTGGATGATTAAATTAGCAGGTATCTAAGCTCGACTGTGGACAAAATATTTTTCAACTAGTATGTTGTATTTATTTAATTACTATGATGGACCAAAAAGTATGGAGCTTAAATACACAATCATATATTGTAAAAAAAAAAATAGGCACAATGTTCAAAATATTTAGTTTAAACAAATATTATACATTATTTCATGCATTCATTACGACGCACTCGACCTCGGATGAGTCAAACCTCGGACAATTCAAATACTTTCGTCTGGTCCCTTCGACATCGATTTAACGAGGTTCGACTGGATATAGTTCCAAAAAAGTTTTAATTCATTTTTTTCTCTCATTTGGGCTTTTGCTTTCAACTAACAAATCTAAATGAATGCGAAACATCTTCTCATGCTTGATTTTAACAAAAATCATAGATAGTTATAATGAGCTATGTCATTGTGATTAAAGTCGCCAAACAAATTTAAAAATGGTAAACACTTACGTTAATAAAAAATCACAAACCGTGAAACATCTTTTTATGGTAGGATTTTATCACATTTTTAAATATAGGTATAATTTGCTATTCTAAATTGTTTTAAGTGGCAAATATTGGATAAACAGTTTGATTTGGTGAAAAAGCTGAATTTTTTTTGTATTTGGATTTCAACAAAAATGATGTACAGGTATGATATGCATACCAAATTGATCCCTGGTGTCAAATGTTTTGAGAGACTCGGTGGCCGAGTGGTCTAAGTAGATCCGACCACTATATCGCTAGCCTGTCAACACTGAGATTGTGAGTTCTGAGTCCCGCACGTGGCAGGTGTGTTCGACTCCAATCTTAATTGACTAGAATTGTCCGTTTTCCTGCCGAAGGTCTGTGGTTCTCTCCGGGCACTCCACTCCTTCTTCCTCCATAAATAAATACTGTCTGCCACCAAATGGCCAATAGCACTGGAAGTGGCTTTAAACACCAATCCATCAATCAATAAATCATCACTTAATGTTGACACCTAAGGTCCTTAAACATTTTATTGGTGTACATTAGCCTATGATCCTAGGATTTAAGTGGGGTTTTTTTTGTAATGTAAATGCCTACAATCCATAGATCCAATAACCGGTACTTCACATTCCAGAAATTTATCTTTATGGCTACTGAATGTCTCATCATATTCTTTTCTGTGTCTTGTCCAACTGATGTGCCTTTTTCGGGAAACTCATTGCTTTCATTATGTTCACAAT